GTGCAAATGAGGTTAATCAAGTCAGGGTTAAGGGATTCATTCACAGCAGTTGATGTGGAAATGTGGATATCAAGAGAGGGGAAATTGCCTTTTTAATGTGTTAACCAGTGAAGATCCTTATTCAATCCTAAATTGATAGTATTGAATTTACAATGTACTGGGGGATCTTTATTGCAAATGGATTTGAACAATTTTGAGGTCATTTACTACTATAAACAGATTTTTTTTCAGGTCATATAGTTACAATACAGTCCAGCTAGATATATTCTTCTTTCTGCACAGTCCCTGTGTTGTGTACTGTTTTTGTGTCTAGTGCAGTATTTTGTTAATTTTTTATCAGAATGTAGAGGTGACTTGATATCAGTTTTTTAAAATTTTGTGTTCTGGTACATATATCATTTTGTTTTAGAAATTTGGCAGACTGAATATCCTTTGTAGCTTTATAAGTGTAATCTGAAGTGTTATTTACAAAAAAATTACTTTTAGTAGTAGCAGATGCATATTAAGATTTCTCTATGCGCTAATCTTTTGTCTTTGTTTTACTTGTTTAGAACAAAAATCAGACAATACATACTAAAAACATGTAACTTTAAAACAGCCATTCCCATTTTCATTGTATGTTTTCCAGCCTACCTTTTTACTCTTCGGAATTCATGCTTTCATTAACAATAGATTTTCATAACCCTACATAAGATAGAGTAAGAGTTGTTCCTAGTAATGTAGAAGAGCAAGTGAGCAGTGTATGATTCATAATTCTCTATTTGTTACAAAGAAAATTCAGGCTTCTCATCTAAGTTTGGATTTTTAGTTCTTATTTATAAAAGCAGTCATTTTGCCATCCTTTTTTGATGTACTGGAACATTCCGATTGAGGGGCAGAAACATAGATATTCACTTTAAATTTCTCATTGTTCCTGTTCTCTGCCATTTTTGCCCTGTAGCATTGGTTGACATTTCATAGAGAGTGAGCCGGAATAGGGCTAGAAAATATATAATTATAAGAATCATATGCTCATGATTTTCCCATTACATACCAATCATGATACAGGCAGATTTTTCATAGGCGTTTGATTTGAAATGAGAAGTTTTATTCTCCAATGACCTGTGATTAAAATGTGGCATTTTGGTAAATAAATTGAAGATAGCTTCTGCATAATTCAGCTCTGAACTGGTGCTGGGAAAGGCAATGCAAGCTTTTGACCTGTATCACATAAGCAGCATCATATATAATGGGAAATATATTCTAAGATTAAAAAAATGTGTATATTTTAAGATTAAAACAGCAAAATGCAGAAATGAAGGAAAATGACTGACATTGGGCACCATAATAAGTGAAGTCTTTTTTCAGTCTATTCTTTGTGAAAGTCTTCAATATAATAATAAGATTAAAGCTATAGAGTAACTCCGTGTAGCTTCTTTAATAGCTATAGAGACATTTGTAAATAAATGAGCAATTACTGTAACAAATGGTAAGACTAGAGAACCTAATTTAAAATTAAAAATATAAATAATTATAATAGTAACAGACTAAATAGAAGTCTATTCCAAAATCAGCATTATTTTGGTCAAGAGTTTTGCATGTCACATTAACCTGAGTATGTCTTAGTGATTGGTTGATATGTATCGATGGAATAGAAACACAATTCTTGAATATAATATAAGCCACATCCTATTTTTATGGATATCAGTGTTAGTAGGATTGAACCCTTTATGTGTATATTCCTGGCTGTTGAACTGAAAAGATACTCATTAATTATCTTGTTTTCCTCACAATATTGTATGGACCATACCTTCTAGCCACTTGCTGTAGTTCATCCTCTATGCATATTACCTGTGGTTCATATGCACGGAGGAGGGAGATAGGTATTTAAAAATTGACTAATGCCCTAATATTCAGCTCATTTTGGAGTGCGGTTGGTTGAAAGGGTAGCATGACATCCAAGAATTTTTAACATACGGTATGCAAGATATATTGTTTTTATAGATAAACTATATAATATTAAGTTATTAAATAAATATCCAATAAAATACTCCTACATTAAACATTGTGAACAAGAAATTGCTAATGATAATGAACTAAGGCAGGAGGGAAGAGAATTTTAAAATAAATTTGACTGCAAATGTTTCCTGCAAACAAAGTTAAATCATTTGGTTAAATTATGTGGATGAACAAATAATTTCTATAATTTCTATTTCTATAATATTTGGGTTAAACACTGATGAAAGCATGATCAGCATTGTCTATAAATCACAACAATAATCTTTTTTCTTCAAAAATGGTTTAAAGTTTAATATAATGTTATTTTTCTTTGATCATTGATTCCTTTTTGGTAGTTCTATGATGGGGTTTTCTGAAGTCAAAGTGATATGTTTTTACTGTTTGCTTGTAGGCTCATATACTATTTAAGTACCCTTTTTTCAGATGTTTAAACATGCATAAAAAATAAAATTCTTCTTCTACATATCTGAGTACATTTATGGAATAATTTAGCAAAGTAGAATTACTCTGGTTTTCCACTGGCGAAATTGGGAGTATAATTTGATCCAAAGTCTACATTAGGATTGGGATTTTCAAAAGAACTTAAAACTGCGATTGAGTGCTTAACTCCAATGGAGTGCCTAACTGGGATCTGAAAACCCCAGTTTAGGCATTTAAGTAAGAAACTTTTTTCCAGCAGAACTTTGTTTTATATAAAAATGTAAACAAACCCAACACAGCCCTACATCTCCAATTACTATCCAGTTATTAGGATACAAAAAATGCTGGTTTTTGCATTCTTTGTATTATGTTACTTGTAAGGATCTGTTTATTGATCATTTTAAAGTAAATCATTATGTACTGGAGTATATTCAGGGAGAGAAAGAGAGATCAAAGTATTTAATTGTTTACTATTATGGAAACCTTGAAACTTTTACTCAGTACACCAACTTTTGTTATCTGCAGCTTTTGTTATCAAAGGGGGGCCAGCTATGAGAGACAGTCTCTGGCTACGCACATTTGTACAGTTTTTATAGTTTTTTGAGGCGTTACATTTGATATGAGTTGGATATGTCAGTATGGCTAGAGGAACATAGGGTGTTTCCACATGTTTCAGAGAAGAATTAAATCAGCACCTTATTTTATTTTTAATTGAGGGCCAAACTTTGCTGTAATGCTGAATAATTCCATCAGGTACAGTGCAATTATTCAGAACTTAACTCATATAACAGCAGAATTTGTTCCATTAGTTATTTTTAAGATATAAAGATTTTATTAAATTAGCAACATATCCTAATTATCCTAGGCTAAATATAAAGACAATATAAAGACTGAAGAGGAATACGAACAAAAGTTGAAAAGAAAAGATATATTCTTTGACTCAGTAAAGCTATGATTCTTTCTACACGTATTTTATCCATGTAGCAACAAAAGATTATAATTGACAGAAGGTGCATGCTGGCAACAACTTTGTTCTCATCCTCACGCATTCTTTGAGCTTTGTTGAACTTGCTTATTGAGTCCTTGCTAGTGCTAGCCAATTTTGGGGCAGCTTTAATTCACCACCAGAGTACCTCTACTGTGCAAATAATACCGGATTCAGGCATTGTTACTATTTTGCTCTGAGTAAGGTTAGGTACAAATCTTCCCCCAGCTACTAGAGATGTAGCTGCACCAATTAAGAATTTTAAGATATATGCAAGAATATTCATAATGTAGACAATTGGAAAACAAACAAAAACCCCATCACCAGCACCCAAACAGATTCCACTACAATCACACATATGATTACTCTTGTAAGGCAGGGGTGGGCAATAATTTTTGGGGGGGGGACACTCCAAGATTTTGGAAAGTGGTCCAGGGCCGCACTCTTCCATGATATTAATGTAGGAGATGCGGGGTCTGGGATGGAGGTTGGATGCAGAGGGGAGCTTAGGATAAGGGATTGGGGTGCAGGTGGGAGACTGGAGTCTGGGAGGCAGTTTGGGTGAAGGAAGCTGTTGTGACATAAGGCAGGGGACTGGAGTGCAGGGGTTTGGGATGTGACCTAGGGTAGAAAGGGATTGTGATCTGGGGCAGGATATTGGGGTGCCAGATCTGGGCAGGGGTATGGGTGTAAGAGGGGGACAGAGGGTTTGGGTATGTTGAATGTGTGTGGGGGAGGAGGGGAGGACAGAGGGTTGGGGCAGGGAGGGGCTGGGGTGCCAGATGCAGTCTGTGGCCAGGAGACTTACCAGCCAGCAGACAAACTAGCTTGCTTCCTGCAGAGCTAAGGCTTGCAGAGCTTAAAACATTTTCCAGCCAGCTAGCCTGTCTACTTGCCTGGCCATGTGCTTCAGTGAATAATTGAACCGAGGAGGGGGAACGTGGTTCTTTTTGGCTGCCTGTTATCCAAACTAAAGCTTCCCTCCTCCCCTCCAGTTTTGAAACAAAAACGAGCCCGGCAGCTGTGTTTCTGCACGGTGTGCTGGGCTTTGGGATAAGCAGGGGAGCCTGCCTGGGGCTCCCTGCTGCCTCAGCAGGCTGGATTCAGTGGCTTGGCAGGCCAGATGTGGCCTGCAGGCCGTATTTTGTCCAGGCCTATGTTATCTGAAGTCATTTGATTCCATACTTATAGTGTGTGGTCATCACATTCTACTCAGAAGTACAACAGTTACTACTACAGTTCACTTTTCAGCAGAGATGCCAAGGACTACGTGGTAGTCTAGACTAGAGTACTGTTTTTCCACTGTAGGTAGTCCTCAAAACCCAGAGTTAATCCACATTGATAAACTGGTGTGGATAAGTTTATATTGCTTCACTTTGTGATGGAATTTTGCTGAATATTTCAGTTCACAAACCTGTTTCCGGAGCCTTTCATGAACATTACATTTAAAAATGGAAAAACAGATGTGATAGTTAGTTCATTTTGGCATAAAAGTGCAGGATATATATTAACTATTAAGCACTCCAAGCAAAATTCCAAGATTATTATTAACTGTAAAATAATTATTTACTAAATTATTCCTTTTCTCTTCCTTTAGGACCTGGGACGTACAATCCTGTAGCGAAGTCAGCTTCCAGTATTTCCCTGTTTGTTTCCAGAGTGGAGCGATTTAAGGATGTGAGAGAGATTACCCCTGGACCAGGAGCATATGAGGTTTGTTGCTATGGCTGTGTTCTCAATCACATATTGGGGTGGATTTTTACCTTAGCTAGATTGCTCTTGTTGTGCTTGTAGTTTTGCCAGTAGTATTTTGGCTTCCAACCTTATTTGTAGGAACAATCTATGTTTAGATAGCTAAATGGCAATTCACAAATGTGGAACAGGAATGGAGGTCAGGTTTTAAAAATGTGACCAGTAATAAACAGAATAAATGACAGTTTGTTGATATAATTACTAGATGTGCTTTAAATAAATGCTGGAGTAGAGGCTCACCTCAGACCAGTTATTCACTGCTGCGAGTAAATAAATATTGCTACTTTTATTAGCCTTCACCCCTGTGTTGTTCAGTGTAATGAGCTATAGTACACTTTCAGTGCCTGAATCTACTCTTTGTGCTGTACTTATGTATTCTGAAGTGGATTTAGCCAAGAACAAATTAAACATCTTTGACTGGGGCCTGTTGTGTGAGGGAGCTTAGTTTTTGGAGCAGAAAAATTGGAAGAACAATGGAAGGGCAGCCTTCACCATATAACTAATTACTGTATTTGACCTGACATAACTTTCTCGCCCCTGGGTAGCACATACGTGCCAAATGCACTGCTACTTGGGATTAGGTCTGAGGAGAACCAATCATAGCTGGTCTTCCCAGGCAATGAAATCTGAAATAAGAGTGAAGTGAAAACGTGGAGCAGGAAGGGAGAGGAGAAAGTTCCCCATTCTTTCCCCATTGATCACCTGACCAGCTACTTTTTCTCAGGCAAATCCCTTTTTCTTCCTCCTCCAGTTCTGCTCCAGTCTTGAACCCAATTTGTTTTCTAATCCATGGGAGAGTGGAAGAAGAAGATACTCCATTTATCTCATAATTGTTCCTCTGTTATATGGGGGAATCGATGCTGCCAAACGGAACCTTGCTTGATCCTTTCCTTACAACCTTTGGGGAGAAAGGAAAGCAGTGTAATGATTAGGAGAAAGGAAAGATGGTCTTGTAGTTAAAGAAGTGGGCTACAAATTTGGAGTCTTGAATTCAATCCCCAGTTGTGCTATAGATTTCTTATGTGATCCTTTGGGAAGTCATCAAATCTCTCTCTGCTTCAGATCCTTGCCTGTAAAATAAGAATAATACTTTCACATCTAATGGTGGTTTGGTGTTCAGATACTGCACTGTGACTATCTATGTTCTAAGATATGTAGAAAACCTAGCAGTTTGACAGTGATGTTAGTGGAGTAATGGAGAAAGAGATTGGGGTAGTACCAAGGAGAAGGGTTGGTGAGATAGCAATTGAGGGGAGACAGGGCATGAAGTAAGTGGAAGGATGAGAGATGGAAAGATTGGAAAGAGAACCAGAATGTGGAAAACAGAACAAGAGGGAAGAGAGACTTTTTAGAAATGGGACTGTCTTGACAAAGGGAAGAGATAAGAAAAGTTGAGCAAATGTCAAGAGAAATCATTGAAGGAGATTAGGGAAGCAGAATACACATGCTGGCTGTGTCTACACTGCACCCCTTTTCCGGAAAAGGGATGCAGATTAGACACATCGGAATAGCAAAATCCACGGGGGATTTAAATATCCCCCGCGGCATTTGCATTTACATGGCTGCCGCTTTTTTCGGGCTTGGAGATAAGCCGGAGAAAAGCGCCAGTCTAGACGTGATTCTCCGGAAAATAAGCCCTTTTCCGGAGGATCTCTTATTCCTACTTCCTACTTTGACTTAAAACAAGTTACTCCAATTTGCACTGGCTAAGTATTTTATTTATTATTCCTAGCAGATTGAAAATAAGTCATTATTTTAAAATTTTTTATAATTCTAAAAAGGTGAAGATTGGGACTGTGGAATTCTTTATTTTGTAATATAAGTGACACTTTTGAGAATAAAGCCCTATAAGTTAAGCTGAAATTATACCCCACAGTCTCAAACAAGGAAGCTATCTACTTCTCAGGTCCACTAGATACCATGCTTGCAGCTAATGCAACTAATTAGTCATGCTGTGTTGTCATGGATGGCAACAAACAGCATGAAACTCAGGACCATCATTACATAACTTACTATTTGCTTAGTATTAAGTCCCCCAACTTGATGACTTACCACCTTGTATACCTAATTTGCCTTTCCTCATTAAGTGAATGGTGTTCTCCTTTAACTGTCTGAGTAAAACAAATACAAGGTTGTTTTGGTTTTCATGGACCATCTGTTGAGTAGAGTTTGTAGGTAAGATTATGTATGGAGTTCATCCTTGCTTATCTGAAAAATTTCACTTCAGGTTCTGATGCTTTCCCTGCTTGGTATCAGCCAGATGGTGATTTATCTTTTTTCCATGAACACTCACTGCTGGGTTATTCTAACTACAGATGCTACTATATTTGGTTTGGTGCCTTGTTGAAAGACCAGATTGCTTTAGGGGAAAATTTCTGAACAAAGTACAAGATTTAGCTCAATAGTAAGAGTTGAGAAACCTCACTGACATACATGAGAAGGGTACAGACAACACAGCTGTCAGGTCAGAGACAGTGACTGAAGTTTCCACTCTTAACAGCCAAACAGGAATAAGGAACAAGACTGCTCTTTGAAAGATCTTGATTTATCTTCAGATAAAGATAACATGACATGTCTATATCCCAAATATTCCAGGCAAAAATTAAATTTTCCATATGAACTTAGCTATTTGCAAATGTTTGTGCAGAAATTGATAAAACTATAAAAATGAGTAGTCCTGTCGAGTAGTCCTGTGGCACCTTTTTTAATAAATAAAGATGCCACAGGGAGAGGGAGAGGGAGAAAAAGAAAGAATGAATATCATGAGCTTTCATGGGTAAAACCCACTTTATCAGATGAGCTGGAGTGGAAATAACAGAAACCAAGATATTTATAACAGCAAAATAAAAAAAGTATTTGTAAATTGTAGAACCAGTGCTAATGAGGCAAATTAAGTGGGCTGCCAGTGTCCCTTTCTTATTTTTGGATATAAAAATGCAGTTGTTCAAGGCAGGGTAATTGGCTTTATAATGCGACATCCAGTTAATGTCTTTGTTCAATGTTAGGGAAACAGTGTTAAATTTGTAGATGAATACCAATTCTGCACTTTCTCTCTGTAATTGACTGTTGAAATTCCTTTGCAGAAAAACGGCTACTTTTAAAATCCTTGAGCCTTGGCTTCCTTAGGAAAATGACTTGTGATGATAAGGGTTTGTCAACACATGGAAACTTCTGTGAAATAATCCAGGGTGTGAAATTAAAATACAATAGCTATTCTACAGACGCTCCTCTGTAGAGACACTTATTCTGCACTAAGGGGCCTTTTGGCATTTTAGTTGATCTTAATTTACTTTGGAAGTACAGTAAGCTCCCCAAAGGCACTCTGGGTATGTCTACACTACCACCCTAGTTCGAACTAGGGTGGTAGTGTAGACATACCCAGAGTGCCTTTGGGGAGCTTACTGTACTTCCAAACGCCGCCATTTTTAAATGTCCGCTAGTGCGGACTCCGTGCCGCGCGGCTACACGCGGCACGGACTAGGTAGTTCGGACTAGGCTTGACTAGTTCGGACTAGGCACTGGCGGACATTTAAAAATGGCGTCGCCCAGCGAGATGCAAATGAAGCCCGGGAAATTCAAATCCCGGGCTCCATTTGCAACTCCGGTTGCCTACATTACCACCCTAGTTCGAACTAGGGTGGTAGTGTAGACATACCCTCTGTGAGGAGTCAATGGAGCTCTGGCAGCAGTTAGTCCAGGCTATTTCCCTGTGTAGAAAAACCCTAACATATGTCAACCACGAATTGTCCTGAGTGTATTCCACATGCAGCCAGGGTTTAAAACTTTTTAATTTCTAGTGTGAAGAGGATCAAACCATTTTAATAAACAATTTTTCTGTCTAAAATTGATTATCAGAATACAAAAACAGTATTAGAAACCTCCTTATTCAAAAACAATAATTCAGGCTTAAAAATAATAGCTTATGAAACTTTTGGTAAGGCTGTCATGTAATCACATGACTCCAGGACCACAGGACCTTAAGAAACTCAAAATAAAATGAGAATCATAATGAAATTTTAAGAGTTGGCAACAATAGAAAGTTCTGTAATAACTGATTCTTAGTAATCAGGGAGTTTGCTACTAATCCACAACATTTCAATGGCTACATCTAAACTGCAGGCTCCTTTCAGAAAAAGCTTTTCCAGAAGAGATCTTCCAAAAAAACTTCCGAAAGAGCGTGTCCACACTGCCAAAGCGTATTGAAAAAGCGATGTGCTTTTTCAAAAGATAGCGTCCACACTGAATGGATGCTATCTCGCATTTAAGCTGTGATTACTATGGACAGAGTGGCCACCGGGGCATCTGTACCTTTTCCTCTTTCCCCTTCTTTCAAAAGAACTCCCTCTTCCCATCCACACATGCCTTTTCCTGAAAGAGCTCTTTTGGACATAAGTGAAGTTTTGTCAAAAACTCTGTAGTGTAGACATAGCCGATGAAACATTTGTGTCACCTATCTCACTGCAAAATGACTGGTGGCGGGGAGAGATGATCTCCGGTGTAACTTTTAGTCTAGTGGTTATGGGGTCCACTTGGAGTTCTCAGTTCAATTCTCACCTCTGTCAGATGGGGAGAAGGGTTCCTCACTTCTCTGGTGAATGCTGTCGAACTACAGAATATTCTGGTATGCAGGTATCTATCTTGTTGAAGCTGTTCCACTTTTTAGTAATAATTGGGCCAGACACAGAAAGAGTAAATGGCGCTCTAGTCCAGTCTATATGATACTGAAGGAAGGGGGCGAGAAATCCTTTTTTCAAATTCATTCTTGGCAGGCAATAGTGGAACTGAATGTGGGTCTGCTGCATCCCAGATGGTGCACTAGCTGCTGGACAGAGAACATAAGGATGGTCAGATCATTCTATTCTGCCCCATTTCCACTGCATCTTTCTCTAAATCCCTTTGCGGATCAGAGGCTCAGTTCTTTGCTCAGGCTTCACACAAGCTGGGAGGGATTTCAGGTGCTT